AACAATATCATTCCAATCAATTTTAATCCAGTCACAATGATCTGTATTTATATAATTAATAAGAATAAATTTCTTTTCATCTATTTTAATTTGGCTTTCTACTTCTTCTAATCCATAAAGTTGAGTACAATAATATATTTCCTCTTCTTCACCAAATGGTGTTGTTAATACCTCAATATCACAATTTTTTTGTATTATTGGTAATTTGATTATTTTACCATACTCACCAATTTGGGGTTCATATCTTTCTTTGAATCTATAATCTCTTACAATTCTTCTTCTTATACCAAATGAACTTTGGGTATCATCTATCATATACTCTTCAACATTTTCTTCCCAAATACCTTTTGGCATTATTAATTTAAGTTTCATTTTTTCCCACTCTACTTTAACACTCATCTTTAATGAATCAGACATACATTCAATACCTTCTTTATCTTTAATGTATTGAGAAATAACTACAGCTTTCTTTTCATCATTTTTCTTTTTTTCTTTACCTTCTTTTCTTTCTGTTCTTTGATACTTTTCAATAATCTTTCGTTCTTCTTCTACAACAAGTGAAATTTCATCTTTTCTTTGCTTTTGTTCTTCTTTAAACTCTTTTAACATTATTTCACTTCTTTCACAAAGTTTAGAGAAGGTATTATGATTATTTTTTATTAATTCAACAATATCTTCTGTACTCATTTGAAGCATTGACCTAATTTGATCTCTTAACTCTTTCTGTGTAATGAACTTATCAAATTCACTCATACAATTCATAACTAGTCTTTTGAGAACTCCACAATACAATATTGTTATATCGTTTACTGTTCCTTTTGGTATTTTTTGGAGAATAGTCCAAAACATTATAGGAACAAACTCTTCTGAATGTTTTTGTCTTAAAAAGAAATCTTGTTGGTGGAAGTGTTGAGCAACAAATAAGAATGAATGTTCTTCAAAATAGTTAAACATTAATATATTCATACGGTCCATCATTTTTATCCAAATCTTATTTTGTTCAATTGTTTGTAATTCAGGATGTTGTTCGTAAATATTTATTAACATAAAAATTGATTCAATACAAAAATTAAGTGAAATACCAATTTCAGAAACTGTTGACAAATCTATTAAATTCTCTGAAAATTGAACAAATAACTCTGATAAACGGTTAATATTAATTGTTGAATGAAGTGATTTTAAATGAAGGATTGTTGATTTAATAATTTCTTTTACAAACTCTTTATTCTTTTGTATTAGTGCTGCTCCAATTATTACTCTTTGATAATTCATACCATCTCTTAATGTTGCTGCACATATATATCCAATTAATTTAACTATATCTCCGCATAAACCTTTTTGTTCTTTTGTTATATTTAATGAATAAATATATTCCTCGTTTGAATTATTCATAATAGATAAGAGTGAATATAAAATATTATCTTCTTCTGTAATTACTCCTCTCAAAGAATAGAATTGTCGTAATATATTTGTTAAAGTCTCTATAATAAAACAAGAATTATATATTTTTATTGATTGAGTTTTTGATAGTAAAGAATGATGAACCATTTTAAATAAAGTATGTAAATACAACCAATGAAATTGTTTTTTATCTGGAATTGTTGAAGTAATAATTTGAGATTCATTTGGTGATGATTTAAGTAATAAAGAAAATAAAGATTTTATAGACTCTTTTGAGAGAATTAATAAACTGACTACTTGTAATAATTGGTTTATTCCTGAATAAAATTCAGAACAAAACGTTGAAGATAAAAATGAAAGATTTGCAGCAAGATGAAGTAATGGTGGTAAAATTGATTCTGGGGGATTTGAAACATTAATAAATTGATAAATAAAATAAGAAGATAATCCAGGTAAAACTCCTTTTACAGAAACAATTTGATCCAGTAATGTTAGAAGTTGTGAACATCTAAATGAACAAAATGAAAGGTGAGTACCTGAATCAATTTTATCAAAGACTTGAAGAAAGTAACAAGCAAATGACATGACAGTAGAAACCTCTTCTTTGTTACAATTTATAGAAAGAATACAAGTAAGTAAATCAGTGACATACGGAAAAACAGATATTTCAGTACTTTCATCAATAAAAAGGTACATTAATTTACTCATTAACCCACCTCCTCTTAGAGACTCTGATGCAGAAACTGGAGAAAAGTCATAAACTGATTTTAATATCCTTAATATATATTCAATTCCATTTGGACATGACCTAGCAATTTTAAAATCAAGAGCCAGTGTTGTTAATATCTCAGGATGAGTTACACTAAAATCTTCATAACTTGTTCCAATTCCTGACAACGCTAATAATACTTGTAAAACTCCATGTGATATGAGGTTGTGTTTTGAATATAATATTAGAACAAGAATTTGAAATGAATTTGTTTTTAATGCCTCAGAATAAAGTTCGGATGACCCTCTTAAACAAAACAATAGTATTTGTAATGCGTCGCATAATTCTACTGTCGTTGTTGATTTTTCTATTATTGACAATAATACAGAAATTCCACCACATTTACAAATACATTCAACAAATGGGGAAGGTGATGTTGGACAAACTCTGCCTTCTATCTCTAAATCTGTCCTTGATACGTTATTGATAAGATCATTCATAACATAAATTAAATCTTGTCTATCAATTTGAATGAAAGGGATTTTTCCAATACCTCTTAAACTTCGTGAGTCATCATAACAATGCGCACAATATCTCCCTTTGTACTGTGGTCCTAATTCATACATTGCTTTAATTTCACTCATTGTTTTTAATCCATTGATAACCATCCATTCTCCAATCCGAAATACTCCTGGAGAAACAACACTACCACAGTGCCCTAAGCATATAGAACAACTACCTTGTAGTATGTCCATGTTTTGAATAATTTTTCCAACTTTCTTTGCATTAATATACACTGTAGATATCTCATCACAGCAAAGAGCAAAATGAAACCAAATACCAACAGGCACTTTTACAGATATACAATTGATAGTATTACAAGTAATATCTAATGTTCCATTCTTAACAAAGAACGTTAACTCACCATAATTTGACATTGTTTTAATTTCTAAAATCTTATAAAACCCAGGACCAAGTTGTAACCATCCAGTAAGTACCATTGGAAATGAATCTAACCAAACATAATTCTTTATGTACGCAACTTTATCTGATGTGTCAAATGTTAGTCCACCAATAGTAGGACCTGTTGAAATGAAGCTAAGAAGAGAAATTAGATTTGAGGTGTTCGTTCCTTGTTTCAATTTACGTAAAAGATACTTACAGTCATTATTTTTTATTGCGTATCTACCAATCTTTTGGATTAGTTCAGTTAATATTCCTCCATCTAATGAGTCTTCAAATCCAGTCAATAATAAACTAAGAATATCATAAACATATGTTCCATATAATGAATATGCATTATTTAGTGAATTTAAGAGATTACTAAATAAACAATTTCGTTGATTTTTATCAAGTAACTTCATTCCATTTAATAAGCTTGGAAGTAAATAACAATTAACAATACTGATTCCAAGATGTTTTTCTGTTAGTAGTGGTAATGATTTATTTACTGGTTGTTCTATGATAAGAGAGAGAGTCATAGCAATGATATTAGACAAATCAAATTGTTTCCATGGATTATAAATGACAAAGTCATCAATAAACTCGTTTGAAATAGAAGCTTTTAATCTATCTCTATTTGCTGAACACTCTCTCATACCAATGATGTATGAATCAATGCATGATTGTAATATAAGTAAACGGTGATAGATAAGAGATTTATTTTTATGATCTTCATTAATTTTATTATACCTCCACTTTACAATAAAAGAAGTAAATAATTCAAAATTATTTGATAAACCATATATTTCTCTTGCCATGACTGATTGGTCCATAATTTCAATTGAAGATTTTAATCTACTTAATGGGTCATTATCTATAATAATATCTTGAAATAAAAAACTTAAAACTAAAGTGAGTTGGTCAGAAGGAATTAATAGTACTATTTCTTTTATTATTAAGGTAATAACTCTTCTGAAATGAGACTTTTCATTAAATACATTAATAAGACATTCCATTATATTATTTTCATTTATTAATGTTATAGAATTAGTTTTATTACCTGCTAATAAAACACAAATAACTTTTACTAAGCTATTAATAATTTCATTTTCTTCATTATATTGATTAAAAGACTCAAAAAGAACTTGAAAAAATAATGGAATAAATACAGACATTACATTCTGAAATGTAGCTCTATTTGACCCAACTAAATAAGTAATAAAATTAACTAATGGAATTAATAAAGAGGTATTAGATATTGTATTAAAATTAATTAATGGTTTTAATAATTCAAGATAATTTGAAGGATTTGCTTGTAAAGTTATAAAAAGAAATTCTAACATTTGAAAAACATATTCTATTTCTTCTTTATTAAAAGAAGTAATCATTAAACAAATAGATTCCATATAGGCAGGTAAAAATGTATAATTTTGTGAATTACTAAAAAGAACTATTTTCAATGATTGTAAAACTGAAAGAACTAATGGTGGACAATCAAGTAAACGCATTAAAACTGAAGGTAATTCTACATTACGAATTGGATTAGGTACTTTACTTTTTTTGATTTTTTGAAACTGATAAGATTCTATTCCATTTCCAAAGAAGCATAAATGTTGTAATGATGCAATAATAGAATTAAGATATCTATTTTCATTATTCATTAATTGATTTGTACATGTTAATAATATTTTTACTAATTTATTAAAAAATAATGAATGAATGTGAATATTTAATATTCGAGAATCACTTTTACAACTTAGACATAAAAATTGAAGATACGTTTCAATGATGATTAATACGTCTTTATTTAATATAATATTATTCATTGTTTGAATCGTTAATTCTAATGCTTTTGTCATTGTCTCATTTAAACATATTTTATTTATTATTTTAGAATTTAAATTATTTAATAAAGACTTAAATAATAAAAGAATTACTTTTGTTTCTTCAATACAATCAAATCTAACACGAATAATTTGAATTGGAATAAATGGAATTTCAACAAAAGAAAAAACAATAATTCCAATATCAATAAGTTGATTTAATAATACTATTCTTTTTGGAGATGTAAGAACAATAAATTTATCAATCATTTCTCCAAAAGAAGTAATGAATTCTGACTTCTGAAAATAAAACAATGCTAATGCCAAATATTCTTTTGAAATAAAAGAGATACATTGTAATAAAATATTATAATATTCATCATCATTTCCTTTAGGATAGTTAAACTCTTTAATTAAACTTTCAATAAAAATTGGAATCATTTGTTTACTATCTCCTAACTTCATAATTTCTTTAATAATAGTATCTCTATCTTTATTTTTATTTTGACATAATAATTGGACATAATAGTCCTTCAGTACATCCATTTTTTATTTATAAGAAGAAAAAAAATCTATTTTTTAAGTTTTTTTTATTTTTTTTTATACAAACTATAATTTATAATAAATTTTATTAAAAAGTTAATTTTAATTATCTTTTTTGTTTAAAACTTCAACTGGTTTATTCTCATTCTTTTTGCCAAGAACTTTCTTTCTTTGACTTAACATGTAAGTATATAACATGTAAAGACCTGGAATATAATAAAGAATAAGTGCCCAGATTATGTATGATGCTGGGAATAAACCAAATACAGTAACAGTTCTGAAATAAGGAAGTGATTTGAAAAGAGTAATAACTTCTCCTGAAACACCCATTGGATATAACACAATGAAGAATGAATATCTACACCATAATAATGGGTATGGAACAGCTAATCCAAATAATTTGAATGAATAGAATGAATATCTAATTACTTCAGTAACAGACCAGGCACATCCTAAAAGAAGGAATCCAAGAGCACGACTTTCTGGAATATATTCAAGAACAGCAACTAATACTACTCTTGAGAAAACTTGTGTAATTGTTGTTCCAAGTGGACTTGGAACAAGACCAGTAATGGCATGGAAAATTTCAAGAATAGCACCATATTGGAAAATCATTAAAGCAATTCTTACATGTGGATACATTAATGGAGCATCAAACCCTGTTTCTAATGCTTTAAGGAAATAAGTGACAAGGATGAATGTCCATCCAACTACCATAGAAAGATTATAAACTTTTAAATATACCTTCTTTGCGTCCATTGAGGGTAAATACTAAGTTCAAAATTTTTTAGTTTTACTTTTAATATCTAAGAGTATACTTTTTTCTTTTTGTTTCAACATTTATTTATTAATTTAAATTCTGTTTTGTTACACTTCTTAATAACACTGTTTATTTTACTTTCGTATTAAACCTTAACTAATGAATATGAGAAGTTCAATTTTAAACTATTTTAAAGGTTTTTCATTAGTGTTTCGTTATAAAACTGTAGAAAAAACATTTTATGTGAAGAATTTGATATTGAGAAACCCTTTTTCCTTTTACTTGAAAAACCTAAAATGAGAGTTATTGATGATTTGCAACACAGAACATCAACAACATGTTAATATGTTTTTAAGAGAAGTACAACATGCTAATAATAATGAATTAAAACAAAAAATAATTTTATTTGAAACAGAAATAACTCAATATAATGACCTTTTGCAATGTCTGTTGAATGCTCTACAAATCAATGACCTTCAACTTTCAGCTTGTATTCATTTAAGAAAGTATGTAAATAGAACAGGAAATATTATTCCTCAACTATGTACGGAGTCATTAAAACTTTCATTTGAAGGAGGTTGTAATGCTTCATTTGCACGTTCATTATTAGCAGACTGCTATAAAAAAGGAAATATTCAAGTCAAAAATTTTATTGTTCGAACTATTAAACAAACATTAGAAAGTCAGTTTTCAATAAATGTTATTGAAACTGCTCGATTTGTTATTGAAGAAGATACTTCAACAACAGAAGGAGGGTGTAGTGATTTTTTTCCTATTATAATTAAAATATTTCAAAATACTCATGACAATGAAATTATTCAATCAATATTGCAATTTTTATTAGTGGGGTCTTCTACTCATCCTGATTTTTTTAGTGACTATGGAAATCAATTGGTTATTCCTTTATTACAACTTTCTTATTCTCTTAATACTAATATTAAACAAAATTATGCACTTCTTTTATCATCATTTCTTACTGCTGAACCTGATCATCTTTCTCAACATGTTGATGAGCTTATTAAATCTTGTTCATTACTTTTGGAAGACTCAAGTGAAGAAGTATGTTCTGCTGCAAATTCACTTCTTGCATCATTATCACATGCATTTAAATCACAATTACAATCTTATTTAACATCATTTACTTCAATAATTTTAAACAGAATTGATAGTTTTGTTAATATTTATGATAATGTTATTGAAGATGAACCACCTCTACTTCATACTTTAGCTTCTACTCTTGATGAAATATCTGCAGAATATCATGATGAATTTATAGCTCTGGTAGTTAACATATCTAAATCACTTTCATGGCCAACAATATTATATGTTATAGGAAGTATTGTTAAAGGTTGGTTACAAAAAGAATTATTTTGTGACGTTTTTGGATGGGTTGTTCAAAAGATTTTTATTGAATTAAAAACGGGACAACCATCTTCACTTTCTTTATGGACATTACAAGAAATGTATATTTTTCTTCCAGTGATGTTGAGTAGTAATAATTACGAAGAATTAATTATCTATTTATTAAAAGGAAATGTTCAGACATATTCAATTTTATTACTTGAAACAATGATAGATGATTCTAAGAATGGAATTGTTTTGCAGTACATAAACCAAATATTAAATTGGGTTATTAATAATTTAAGTATTGATACTTCAGGTGAAATCAGTGTATTATTAGTTGAAACTATTACTGCATTAATTGATAGATCACCAGACCTCTTTTATGGGAATAAACAACTATTTATTGTTATTACTCGTACTTTTTTAAATTTGATTCATAGAAATAAAGTTATTTCAGATAGAGTAATACAAAACCTTAGTTATGGAATTCCTAAATTTGGTTCAATGGCTCTTATTGGTTCAGAACTTCAATTAGTAAATGTTGTTATTGAGATGATTCATAGTGATGATACTAGAGACCAAGCTGCTGCTTTACAATTATTAACCTCCTTAATAGAAACAACTAATCAACCAGTAGAATTAATTAGAACAATGCAAAATGTAGCTGGAGTAGTATTATGTGGGTTGAGGTCAGTGGATGAAGAAGTGGTAGACCAAGCATTTACTTTACTTGGTGATATATTACAGAAAGATCCAATGACATTGGCAACTTCATATCGACCTGTAGTAGAACAAGTATTAACCAAAATGCAAACAGGGAATTTGTCCATTAGGTTATGGGCTGTTGGTATTTTAATTAAATCATCACCTAATGGAATTGAAAACTTGTTTGCTCCCTTTGTTAATGTTCTAATTCGGTTAATAGAAATTGCTACATCAGCATCAACAAAATCAAAACCTTTTTTAAAAAGAAATCTTTGTGTTTGTCTAGGTAGAATCGCTTTAAGAAAACCTGAATTAATAATTCCTCATATTACCTTAATTTGTGATGAACTTATTGATTCATTACTTGAAGTAGGAGATAATGAGGCACGTGTTGTTGCAGTAGAAGGATTTGGTCGTATTATTGCTAATCAACCTTTATGTTGTAAAAGTGCTTTATTGTCTGTTGTTAATGTATTATTAGCTGAAAGACAAATTACACCTTCAATGACATCATTCTGTAATTCTGTGTTACAGATATTGAAGAATACATATAATGGAGATGCATATCTTATGATATGGAATAGTGTAGTATAAATCTCTCAACACAGATAATATTTTCATTATTCATTTGTCTTATTGTCTTATTTTCTTTTTAATTCAATGATTAAAGAGAAGAATAAATAGTAAATAAATTATAATAATATAGCACTTAACAGTGATGCATTGGTTTGGTCAATAAAAGGAAAACGTTCTTTCATTAGTTCATATTCAATTTCAGGATTTTCATGCTTAATCATATTAAAACAATCTTCATCTTTAATACATTCCTTATCAATATCCCTATGTTCATTGTTTAAATGTTTAAGAAATGAATTCGAATACACTAGTTTATTCATGTTTTACTGAGCGAATATTCAAGTTGTATCCTTCGTTTTTATTCTCTGAACAATGAAATCACTTTATTATTCTCTTTATCTCTTGCTTTATCTTTTCTTTTTTAAATTGACAAGAGGAAGAATAATTTTCTTTTTTCTATTTTTAGGAAAATTAAAAATATGATAAATGAATATGTGGTTCCACATGAATACACGTAATAATTAATTGAACTGTAAAAAGAAAGGAAAAAAATCTTGGGTTACTGAAGAAAAGATATGTCACAGTTAGACAATGACTCAATTTACCATTTAGTTGAGTACTTAAATAATGAAAAAGAGGCATTCATGGTTAAAGGTATCAATAAAAAATACAAAAATATTTATAATAAATTTGAATATAATCCATTTCCAGTAAGTTCAACAGATTTATTTCCAAAAATGAAGAAACAATGTCTATATAATAAAAAAGATAAACAATTAGAAGGAATGGATCAATACATTTATTGTTATGTAGTTGGATATAAAGTTGTTTCTCAATCAAAAGAAAATAATGTAATTTTTAAAAAAGTTAGATTAGGGAAGCATGATCATGACAAAATGCCAATAAATTATATACCTCCTGGTATTCAAGAATTAGGCAAGAGTTGTTATTATTACGCAGCTAATACAGAAATTAATTTACCAACTACAATAACAAAAATTGGATATGATTGTTTTTATTATAATTTATTCAAATCAATTGACCTAAGCCATGTGTTACAAATTGATGTTGGTGCATTTAATATTTGTAATGAGTTAAGTGCAGTGACTTTGTCTGGTTATTTAAAAAATATTCCTTCTTATTGTTTCGAAAGTTGTAAAAGTTTGTTAGAAATGGATCTTAGATACATTGAACAAATTGGTGATTGTGCTTTCAATGAATGTACCTCACTATCTTCTATTACTATTTCAACAAATCTCAAAGATGTTTCTTATTCAGCGTTCAAGAAATGTTTTTCTTTGCAACACATAGATGGGTGTGGAATGAAAGTATTTCATCCATCAATTTCATCATTATTTTTTGATGTACTACAAAAGAATGGAATCTGTTGTGATGGAGAGATTCATTATATCAGAGAAGACAAAAATTATTTTAATAGTTTAATCCCTCTAGGTGTTAATATAATAGAACAAAGCGTTTTTTTGAATGATTGTATCACATCAGTATCAATTCCATCGAGTGTTCATATGTTATCAGAACATAGTTTTGATTCATGTCGTCATTTAAAAGAAGTTATTTTACCAAATAATCTAACATCACTACCAACGTGTTGTTTTAATAAATGTTTTGCATTAGAAAAAATTAATTTAGAAAATTTAATTTCTATAGGAAGAAATTGCTTCAACTGTTGTAAACAATTAAAAGAAATTCATTTGGATTCAGCGACAGACCTTAAACATGGATGTTTTGATAGATGTGACGAATTGTCAAAAGTCATACTAAATAGTTGTATTGAACGATTCCCCAAAGAGTGTTTTTCTGGAAGTAGAGGGTTAAAAGAAATTACAATGAATAATATAAAAGTCATTGAAGAGTCTAGTTTTATGGGATGTTCTGAATTGGAAACTATTGATATTAGTAAATGTACTTCAATAGGAAAATGTTGTTTTATGAATTGTACAAAATTAACATCAATTCAATTATATTCTCAATTGATAGGACTTGAAGAATCTTTTTTTGAAAATTGTGGATTTATTCAAGTAAGTTTACCATCAACTCTACGTTCATTGAATAATAACGTTTTCAAAAATTGTACATCTTTGAAGTCAATTGATATTCAGATGGTTACTCAGTTAGGAAATAATTGTTTTGAAAATTGTTCTTCATTGAGTTACGTAAAATTGTCTAATGAATTAAAAATACTCTCAGTTCAATGCTTTAAAAATTGTTCACAACTAAGAGATATTCAACTCCCAAGTTCACTCGAAGTACTTCAAGATGATTGTTTTGATAAATGTACTTCATTAACAAACATTACTATTCCTTCACACTTAAAAGTTTTATCGAGAAATGTTGGTCTAGATAAAGGACTTGTTGAATTAAAACTGTTTAGTTCATTAAAAATAATTCAAAAAGGCTGTTGTTTAAGTTGGAAACGATTAAAGAAAGTTATTGGATTAAAAGTTCTTGAAAAAATTGAACAAAGTGCGTTTGAGAATTGTGAAGAGTTAGAGTCTATTGAATTTAATCCAACACTTCAATTCATTGGAAGACGAACATTTTATAATTGTAAGAAGGTTACACATGTATATATTCCAAATAATACTATTGTTGAAGAAGAAGCATTTATGAACTGTTCTGGGATACAAGAAATCATTATCGGAGAACATTGTCATATTCCACGAAATTGTTTCAGAAATTGTGGTACTATTAAAGAAGTTATTATTCATGATTGGGTTGATTTTGATGAAAAAGCATTTGTTCATTGTACAATTCAGTCTATTAAATCTCCCTGCAATGTATTAAATGGTAAAATTCCTTATTGGATGAGTGTTATTGCATCAAAAAATAATATTGAATGTTCTGTAATAGAATATACTCGTTACGATAGAATGTGTTATGGAAGCAATATTCCTACTCAATGTAGTCAACTTGGGAATAGAGTTTTTAATTCATGTAATAATAGTTTGATTATTCTTCCAACTATGATTACTAAAATTGGAACTCAGTGTTTCAATCATTGCAAACAGTTAAAAGAAATAAGATTTAATAAATTTCTTGAAGATAAGATTGATGCTCCATCTACAATAACAAAAGTTCCATTTTAGTATATTTTATGTTTTATAAGTGATTATTTTTTTTCTGATGATAAGAAAAAGAGAAAAACTGTTGAAGGAACTTGAAAAGAAAAAAGAGAAAAACACAAGAAAAAGAGTTGAAATGGAAGAAATGGGAATTGATCAAAATGTGAATGAAATCTTGAGATTATTTGAAGAAGAGTTATTAGATAGTTCATTAAAAGATTTTAGAGATGTAATTGATGGAGACCTCACAATTAAAGAACTTGAAGATATAGTTAAACAAGGAATTACTGAAGAAATTCCTACAGTCATAGATGCTGCAAAACAATTAATTGAAAGCAATTTTGAAAGAGGTGATTTACTAAGAGAGGCTCATATCATTGGACAGCAGTATCAATTCTTACAACAAGAGTTAAAATATTACAAAGAATTATTAAATGAACCAACCAATAAATAGTAAATAATTTTATGTTGGACAGTTTTGGTTAATTTCCATACGAAAAATAATACAATAAAACCATATTTTTCAAATTAACAAACATTATGAGTTTCTTTTATTAACAAGAAGAGACTAATATAAGAAGCATAAAACCAAATACCTTTCCAATAAATAAATGGTTTAACATAACATTTAATGCTATTAAATGCTAATGACAAATATGATAAACATAAATACCATTGATACCATAGATATTCCAGAAGAACATACCAAAGTATATTCTGAAATTGATTCACCACATTGAACACAATCTGATTGTATGGATAAACCACTACAATCGTTGGACGGATAATCAAAAGTAATAAGAGAGTTATTAATAACTTTAAATTGTGTAGATCCTGAACTTGTAGAAGAACATGCTTCAGTGATATAGATAATTTCTTCATTAGTTGGCTCTTCTTGCCCCCGACAAGGTTTGAGTGCAGCAATTGATTTTGGTGAAAAAGATTCAATAGATGAAGGTTTTATTTCTTCTACAGAAATTCGAGCACCTGAACAATCATTAGAAGCAAAGTGTAATATAAAAGAATATAATTTTACGATGACTAATTTCTTTGAACCTGTTTTTGTTATTATACACTCATCTTGCTTCATCTTTGTGAAAGATAAAATCTCTCCTTTACTAGTTTTTTCTACTGGAACAGTTAATTCAAAAGCAATTGAAAGATTTATCAACACAAAAATGAGCATTAAATTTTTCTAGTTCTTCTTTCAATTTTCTTCCTTTGTTTATTCTACAAATTTATAAAACAATTTAATAAAATTCTATATTTTTTAATGAACCATTCTTTATTTTTTGGTTGTTCATTTCATAAATCATACTATGATGATCCAATCACATATTCATATAAGAGTTGTTCTATAAAAGTTGTAAAACAAGAATAATTTTTTTTCATCAAATCAATAGAAAAAATTTGTGTTATTATTTCCTATTTAATTAATATTCTTTTTAAACTAAAATAGTTTAATAACAACCAAATTATTGTTATAAAAAATTATTATAATCATGACATTGATTTTTGAAAGACGAGTCACTGATATCTCATTGGTATTACTTTTCATATCCCCAAAACACCTTTTATTATAATAAATCACACTAACACCACTCTTTTTTATATATTCTATTGAATTTCTATCACAATGAATATTAAAATATTATTAATAAGTTTTTATATTATTAACTTAACTCTCTTATAATATTTCTATTTAGTTTACTGAAAAGAGGTTACTAAATTCTAATTGGTTGATTTTATAGCTATAATGAAATTTGATGTAGGTTAGAAAGTTTTAACTTAAGAAAAAAGGATTAAACATCCAAAAAACCACACTCGTATCAGCCAATTGTTTTAGTAGTATTGCTTTATTTTGTATCTTTGATTTCTTTATTTTATAATTTGTATACAGAAATACATTATGACATTATATTACTTTGTTATTGAACAACATTGTTAATTTGTATTATTTATTTATGCTTGACTTTTTTTCTCTTCATAGTTAGAATTATTTCCTTGTTTTTTCATTTCACTTTCAATTGAATCAAAAAACTTAAAGAGATATACTTGTTTGTTATTTTGAAAGAAAGTTTTATTAGAATGTGAATAAGAAACTAAAATACAAATAAACCAACCATACATAATACCAAAATTAGACCAAAATAAACAAAATGATAAGAGACAAAAAAAAACATTGGATTATAACATTAATACAAGTAAAATATGTCTCAAAAAGAATATATAAAATAGTCAAAATAATAATTGTTATACATAAACTTAATAACAATATGATAAAATCTTGTTCACAATTTTTTATTAAAAGTTATTTTTAAGATTTTGATTGATTTTTACTAAAAACAATTAAGGGTTTTGAACCAAAAACGTGAGAATACGAAATTTGATAGAAAAGAAGCTTCTTTTTATTGAGTGATAAGATTTTTTTTTCAAGTTTCAAATTTTTGTTATTTATTTTTATTAAATAATTAATTGAATATTTAAAGTAAATAAATTGAATTAACGTAGTGCTAAAAAAGAAGACAAATCAGACAAAAAAGGAAAAAAGAGAAAAAAGAAAAGAAAAGGATTGTAATAATCTCAAAAAAATTACTTGGGTTTTCCCATTCGCAGTTTTTACCCGCTCTGCGACTTATTAAATAATTTCTTGCACTCTCTACAATACAAATCATCATTTAAACTTATCTATTCAAAGAAATGTATTGCTCCTGACATCTCTCATTTAATTGTTATTTTAACGTTATTCTTTTTAATTCAAACAGTCTCTGGTTCTTGTATTGATTGTGAAGCTAATTATTTTAGGTGTCGAGCTGATGCTGCTTTAAACCATATAAATAAGTCTAGTGCTTCATGTAATTGTTTATTAGAAATGGTAAATTGTTATAAATCTAGTGAATGTAAAAATGAAGAAAAAATTATAAAAATTGATTATGACTACCTTCATTGTTCATTTGTCATTCCTGACTCTTTAACTTCTTCTTCAAAGTCTCTTATTTCTGTTCCTATTGTTCTTATTTGTTTCCTTGGGACGGCTGTAGTTGTGTGTATTTGCTGTATTCTTCTTTTGGTTGTTCATCCTCATAGAGATAATTCAGGTCAAGAAGAAAATACCATTCCTTTAAAAACAGTTATTATTCCAACACCTTCTCCAACAGACACTGAGGAAGATATGAATAAAATTTGTAAAGTATGTCTTGATAATGAGAAGAATACTGTTTTTATTCCTTGTGGGCATATTTGTTGTTGTTATGAATGTTCAAAAAAATTGAGTAAATGTCCTATTTGTCGTGCTCAAATTACGACTATTGTTAAGACATATGATGCTTAGTTCATTTCTTCATTAATACAGAATTTTTCTTATATTTTCTTTCTTTTTTTAATAACAATTATTTCATATTTTTTTGTCTTTCGTTAACAACATTTTTAGTTTAATGAAGTAAAGAAAGAAGGAAAAAGAGAAAAGTCATAAAAGTTGATAAAGAACTTACAAAAATAGAACCCTATAAAAAGAAAAAAAAACAAAAAAAAGTACTTACTGTTTAATTGACAAGTATGCCTGAAACAACCAATTCTGCTGATCTTAGTAATGCAATTTCTATTAATATTGATTGGATTGAAAGTGATCCTATCATTTTTACAGTGAAATTCGATGATAATTCTTCAAATGAAAAAGCAAATGAAAGACCTGTCAGTGTGAATATTTCAGGATTGTAAACAAAATAAACATAATTAAATATTTATTGTTTTTTTTTTGTTCTATGTTTGAAGAAAAACAAAATCTAAATTTCATGTTCGGCAATTTTATTTTTTTTATATTCTGCTTAAAAATTGTTTTATTATAATTAAGTTATTTACTTCTTTTCTAATTTATTCAATATATCACTTTATATAAAGTTTATTTGACTCTATTTTAATGACTTGTATCTAAATTCCTGAAGAAAGGAAAAAAATATAAGACATAATAATGTTGATTGACTTAACTTAATTTTTCTGTTCTTCAGTTCAATCTAATATTGTCGTTTTAAGTAATTCTAAATGTTTTTATGTATAAATTTCTTTCTTATTCAAGTGAAAAAACAAATAAAATTATTTTTATATTTACTTAATAATTCAAGTTATTATCAGAGATATTATTATTTATCTTTGGCTCATGATAGTTAGTGTAATATTTTTCACAATTTTTTTGTTAATTTAATATGAATTATTAATTTAAAAAAAAAGTTATATAATAAATAGAATAAGTTTATAGATAATGGAATTGTTTGGAGTTTGTTAAACAATAATAATTAAATGTTTTATAACAAATGTTACACTTTTTATCTATACAAATTAAAGTTATTGTAGAAATTGAGATTTATTTAATATTAATATATGAAAACTTGAGTAATAGATAGAATTTATTTAATTATTTTTATTTTCTAGTTTATATTTATTAATTCTGTATCTAATTTATTTTTGAATAAA